GATAATCATTTAACTTTTAACTTAAACAACCAGAACTCATCACCTCTGCCAGGTGAAGATCATGGGTTTCCTCGCCTTGTATTTCTCTTGCAATTCTTAAAGCTTCCCTCTCCAAATCCCTCATTTGGGGGCCCCTCTCCAGCTTTGTTGTATAGAGTTCCTCATTGAATGTGCTCTTCACTCCAAAGAGTGTTTCATTTACTTCAAATTGGTTCCAGCCCCTAAAAAGAATGTCATAAGTCAACACAACAAGATACTTTTGAATGCTTATTGGAAGTTAAATACATAAAAATAAGTTGATTGAATCATAGTAAACCTAAAGCTTCACGAAAGAGTAATTTAGCAACCTATTCCAATGGCCATCAAATATGTTCTCTAGTTCAGGGCACTCAGGAGTATCATCATCAGGTACCCAGCGCTCCAACTCTCGCTCTGTCTCAACATTCTGAGATTGTGATATGCATGAATCAGTCATTAATTCATGCTGCCTTTCCAACTGGTACTCGAATTTTACATCATCTTGAGTTAAATGGACACCCTGTTGCATAAGATAAAAAGAATGTTAAATGTTACTCCATAACTGTTTAATCCTTGTCATATATTGACATCATGATAAGCATATAGTACATTTCAAATGTTATACAATTCATTGATATGAAAACACTTATCATTTGCTCCTTAATACAAAGTAGTTAATAAAAAGGCAGGATACCTTGGATGTAACTTGCACAAGCTCTTTAGCTGGTATTATGAATGTTTTCGAAGTAGGCTTGCTAAGAGATTCAGAACTACTCTTCTGCCCACGAGAACCATCTTTTATAAGGCGAGCCATTTTCAGAACAATATCTACAGCAGTTCATTAAAAAGGAATGAAAAAACAATTAACACTTGTTGCAGTAAAGTTATTAACTAAGTTCAAACAAAAAAAATGCCAAATGATCATTGTTTCATAAATATACCAAAATCTTTATCAGCATTAGTTGCATGAAGTATCCCTGAAAAAACAGAACCATCCAACACCTGTACTTCCACTTGAAGTCCAATAAGGCATGCAGTTGTGTAAAATAGCCGATCTCGTGAAGCACCGTCAAATGCACCCCCTTTTCCTAGAACATCTTTAAGTTAGAGGCAGTAATATGAAATGAACATCAAACACATTTAGTGAGCTGCTCTCACCTACACTTGTCAACCGGCGGTGACCGGATTTTGCACTTTGCGGCTTACGATAGCCAAATCCATTGCCATTAACAGAAGATTTGGTCTGCAAAACTTGCTGCATATCCATCCTCAAGGGATTTCGTGTAATATGATTTAATGATATTAAACTACTTTAGATAGTAGCTGTGAAGAACAACATAAAAAAAAGTATGTTAGGGAAATACAATGCATGTTTCTGATATCAGCTCAAACTAAGAATATGCTGCATCTTGCAATTGAAGATTAAGATGCTACAAGACAACAAGAGAATATTTGAATGAGCATTCCAATAAAACTTCATGATTATCTGTTCTCATTCAGTGAGCAATAAGCAGTGGCAATATAATAAAACATAAGAGTAACATACTCTATGTAAAACCCACTAACATCTTGTTTTTTACACCGTAACATCAACTGGAGTCTAGAGTCTCAAGATTAGATTCAAGAGTCTGGAAGTTGGAGTCTAGATCTTGGAGTATAAAATGGAGTAGGGTGACTGGTGACTAGAGTTTAGAAAGTGTTTTGATTTTAACTAAGTGTTTGCTTGGGAACCAGGAAAGTACCTTCTCGAAAATGATTTCTAGAGAATGAGTTATTTCCCTTAATTCATTTTCTTTTTCTGAGGCTGGAATTCTGAGAACAGTGTTTTTTTGTTTGTTTGGTTCCTTTTTGGAAAATGAATATTTGGAAAATGAAGGTCACCTACAACTCTTCTACAATGGATGTAGATTAACGTGCTATACACAAAATCGAAATCAATGGAGGCAGATAATGGAAATTGATAATAGCCAGATAGTTGTATTTTTCTCTCTATAAATTCATTTTTTGAAAAAAGTTGATTTAAATAAGCCAAAAATGAGTCCTAGATGTATTAGTGTGTCCTAGACGTGTCCATCTATGTCCATTCAAAGACATGACACATGCCATGGCCTAAATAATTTGTATCTACCAAAAACATTTAACAAAATATTTCAACAGTTGGGGAGAAAATTTATCATTATAATTGTTTTATCACAAAATAATTCTGGAAAAGTATCATAGTATGATGTATGTGTGCTTTTTGAGGTTGCAATGATAATTTATTACTCAAATTTTGAAAGAAAAAAATTGATCACAAAGTTGATTTTGTGCTCTTCAAGATTCTCTTGCATGATAAATCCTCAAGACAGTAAAAAATTGCATTTCCATGCACTTGAACAATTACAACAATCATGAAAGTAATAACTTGTTTGCGAACATCGAAACAAGAATATCAATGTGATTGATTAAGTGTGTATGGAAACACAACTTACTATGTTTTGAGAAAGCAAAGACATCTTGAAGAGCACTAAAACCCAACTCCAAGGTGAATTATTTGTTAGAGAGCTTTTAGTAAATCATCTATGCAAGCTTAAATAAACTCTCACGCACACTTCATATTATAGTATTTTAAAACAAAATGATAAAACAATTTCAAGAACTTTCCCCAAACATTTAACACTCTTGTTCACCTTGGACCAATGTTAAGTAACCAACTCAACCAAAAGCTCGAACCTGTGGTTGTAGGCCCAGAAAAGGTTTTTATATTCTAAATATCCCCTCACATGCATGCGTGGTTGCTTCAAGTCCTGCATGTGAAACCTTATTTTTTTAAAAACTTGATGGCAATGAGTTTCGAACTCGTGACCTCTTCTTCAGCAAAACTCTAATGTCATGTCAAAAAACCAATTCAACCAAAATCTCAAGTTCGTGGTTATATGCCCAGAAAAAGTTTTTATATTCTAAATTAGAGAGATATTCCCTCATAATTGTTGTAAATAAATATTATTTAATATTACATTCATTGTTATTATTATTTTGTAACTCCCAATCAAGACTGTAACCCCCATCTCATTAGCTTGGTTTTAGGAATAGTATTAGGATCCTAACTTTAGTGGTCCAATCCTTAAGTGGTCAAGTATGAGGCATAGGCTGAGAACATTCCATGCATTGAATACTTGTTGGGGAAACAATCAACCTTCTGACCATTAGTTTAAAATTTAGATATAACTATGATAAAGAAATATGTGTGTCGAACATTCATTTTGAATGGACTGACACCCTTGATGTGCATTTTTTAAATAAAATGACAAATTGACAGAACTTTAAATTGAATTTAGAACATTTTTGAACCCTTATTCCATATATGAATAATTTTTAAATTCTCCTTGTTAAAACACAAGTTTAATAAAACTTAATTTTTCTTGAGAAAAATATTTTCCCAAGTTCCAACTTGCTCATTGAGTATATTTCGTGTGAAATCATTTCCATATCATATAAAACTTGTTGAGATTACGTTCCTTGAGTTTACAGTCATTATCAATAGGTCTCATTGTTTTATTCTTTCAAAAATGTCTTGCAACATAAACCAAACAGCAATCTACCAAGTAAAATCTCATGAATGGGGTCTAGGAGGGGTGGGTATATGCAAAGCCTACCCCTACAAAAAATGTAAAGATGCTATTTCCAAAATCCTTCATCACTTTATTAGAAATACGAAAACCAAGTGATTGATTAATACCGTCTCTGCAAGTAGGTGTAGCTTCTAGTTTCTTTATCAGTCCCTGAAAATAGGTTGTGATTTGCAAAAACCAACATTGGGGTTCTTGGTAAACTAGAAATTAACAAGTTTAAAGGTTTGTTATTGATCTGGTCACATCCATCATCCATATCGAAAGGGGGTATTTGTTGAATTGGTAGCAATGCCCTTCTGCCTTTGGTGTTCAACCAGATCAAAACATAGTTTGATGGCAAAAAATAATGAGCATTTAGGTAGTAGAGTATAATTTCTAAACTACTTTAAACTCACTACCATTTACTTTATAGGGTTTACATATTTCTTTTTGCTTCATATAGAAAAAAGCGATTGAAGATATAAACAAAAAATAACAAGATGTAATTAACGAGAAAGACGTGGGGCACAAGTGTGATTCAATACAAAGGATAATAGTATGTAGTAAAAAAGAGGAAAGTAGAGAACAATACAAAAAATACTAAGACATAGAGCTTTATTATAGTGGTGATGATTAAAGGAATGTTCAGTTATTAGTGAAGATGTGAAAATGAAGAGGCATGTCCCAAGATCGTGTAAAGAATGAACTACGTGATGAAGCAAGAAAAAGGTCTATGCTTAAGCATTAAAAGTAGAAAAAATGGGAAAGAGAACGGACTGAGGCCAATAGCCTAAAAATTTTACACCAACAAAGATGGCAAGAATCCAGATTTTTCTCACTAAAATGGAGGCATGAGCCTCAACATCTTCAAGCCTTGCACTTCACACATCTGTGTGTCGAATACCTTAATGCATAAAACTCATTTAAGTGGACTAATGGTTAAGCCTGATTGGTGTTTTATTAACTAAAGCATATATTATGGCTAAAGAGAACAATAGGGTGTTGAAGTTGTTGAAAGTTATGGGCTTCATCACTGCAAAATGGGGTTATGAGCCTCATGAAGGCGGTGAAACCCCTAATGCACACCGCAGATGGAGGAGGAAAGAGTCACAAACGCAGACGCGATCACTCAGATTTCAGAGTCATAATATGATGCGAAATGTTATTTGTACAGCGAGAATCATGAATAATGGCCAAAGAAGAGTAAAGCATATCGGAAATGGAAGTGGACATTGACTATAAAACCCTAGATCAAGTTGTACAAATACAGCAATACTCATCGAGAAAATGCAGTTACTTACCTGGAGGATGGCAGAGCGGTGTGATCCGGTCGACGACGACGACACAATGGGATTGATCGGAGACGAAGCAATGGATATGGCTCTAATTTTTGGAAGGAGGGGACGCCAAAAGATCCAGCCGGTTAGACAGCAGCCATTTGCCGGGTATTCTCCGACCCGAATCCGATATTCGCCCCAAAAATAATCTAAGAACGGATCCAGGCTGTCTGGTCGGTCAAAGAATTCGGTAAATTTCTGCGGTACTCCCTTCGGACATGGGCCCTGGGTGGAAAAATATTTACCCCTAACTTCTAAAGGAAAAAGGTAATTTCTAGTTAGAAAAATCGGTTCAGCTTAAGTTGAAAAAAAAAATCATTTTTTAAAGAAAAATGCTAGGGTACATCAAAGGTGTACCCCATTTGTCCCCCACCCCCTCCATTACCATATAAGTGGGCAAGAATTTTAAAAAAAATTAAATAAATAAAAAGTAGATAAAAATGGGTGGTGGAGAAGAGGGTGTGGGACAAATGGGGTACACCTTTGGAAAGGTGTACCCCTAGCATTGCTCTTTTTTTAATTTTATTCGTTTCGGCTTGCAAAAGCCTATTAGACTTTAAAAATTTAATCATTGTATTAATTTAATTGTGAATAACAAAATTAATAATTTTTTTCAGCGTAAGAAAAGTTCATTTTCACGCGTTGAATATTATACGGAGTATTTTTTTCCTAGCTTACATAAAGCCATTTTGACCAACTCCCATACCAAATTAATTACAAATCTAATTTCTTCAACCATCACCCTCTTCAACTTCACTATAAATTATACGCTTTCTTCACCTTACCATAACACGAAAATTTATAAGTGCTACACTACATTTTATCTGTTTGGTTACACAAACATCTATCACATTTTTTAAGAGTTGAGGACTGTATTCTAATGATATATCCATTTAATATTCCAATATTTAAATAATTGGATGCATATTTCTTTTTATTAAATAATATATATTGTGTTTTTTGTTTGTTGCATTTTATTACAGTACTACTAGATAGAAATTTAATACCATCTTCGTCGTCCCACAAAATCTTTCTTCTTTCTTTTTTCTTTGTTTTTATCTCTATTAGTTTTTAGACTACATATCATATCACATCTATTCACTATTAATTTATTCATCACATCATATTTTTACTCATCACATCCAATGGTGTTTTTGAACAGTCAATACCAAAATACACTCACATTAAATCCTTTAAAAGTCAAAACAAGAAAAGTTTTGTGAGACATGCTCACTTTGCAAGTGAAACATTGTTCACATAAAGTGTGGCACAATCCAATTTTCATAGCTAACAAATTAAAGTGCTTCTCGTTTGTTATGAAGGAAGTCTCCCATTGCTATTTGAAGACGGAAGGATTTTACAAAATTTACATCAATGCTTATCCAATTAGACCATCAATGCTTTTGTGGAGCGTTGAAGAAAAACAGTTGTAAGTATTCAAATTTTCTTTTTGTGACATGTATATCACTTTATATGACGTTGAATGTCTGCTAGAACTTCAAATCAATGGACTTCCTGCCATAGGCTCTCCATTGATTAATCAACGTCGAATTGACCAATTAAAGATTGCTCTACTTTTTGAGGGACTAAGGCCATCTCCAATGGGATGCCTAAAAGAGATGCTCAAAGGAAAGAGAAGAAGATGTTTAAAGGTGCCACTATTGGAGATGAGTGCTTAGAGGAGGTGTTCAAAGAAGAAAGAGAGTGAGAGATGCTCAAGAGAGCACCTGATGCTAGCATTCAAAATCATGTGTGCATTCTTTTATTTTTTGTAAAATAAGCTTTTTTTAATAGTACACTCTCTTTTTAATGTTTTTTTTCTTTTCATTTTTGTGTCTCTTTGTTTCCCCGGAAAAAATCTTTACCATTTTTTTTATACAAACCCATTTTCCTAAGTTTTTTTTCTTTTCTTTTTCTTAACTTGTAGTGATACCATAAAAAATTGTTAGCCTTGGTTTGCCATAAATCTGTTTGAAATAGTCTTTCATTTGATTGAGTATGATGTGCACAAAATAAATAAATAAATAAATACTCCATAAAAAAATATGACACCCTATTTTATTTTTAGTAATACCACCGTGCCTTTAATTTTTTAATCAAAATTTTTTAACAATAAAAAAAGTCATTGATAATATTTTTAATTATTTACACTATTTTTTTCTTAAAAATCTTTTAATTAATAATTAATTACTCCATATTTAACACTTGTATATATAATACAAAAATCCATAATTAATAATATAAAAATGGCATTTATATGTGAATAGGATCCACCCAAAGCATCTCAATGAGATGTCACCATTAAAAGGTTTAGATGTTTAAAGAGATGTTCCAATGCTATCTTTAAAATAAAGCCCACATTTGGGCATCTAATGAGAGGTGCTACCACTGTGGATGCTCTAACAAAACTACCAAATCTTGGATGGTTCGATATAATGGTGCCCCAAAACTCCGATGTATATATATATATATGAGTCGGTTCAGGTGAGAATGTACCTTGGTGAAAGAAATGAGAATAAAATCTAGTCTTTGGATCGGATGCATCGTGCAGCTCAGATTGCATCCTGCACTCAGATTTTGAGATAGTGCATTTTCAAAGGATTTTGATACATTTCGACATGTCGCATTTTTAAACCATTTTGGTGCACCTAATTTTGATGCAATCTTGACCCTTAGATCTTACAATCTAAAGCACCAAATTCATTCTTATTTCTTTCATAAGATCACATTCTCACCTGAACCAATATATATATATATATATATATATATATATATATATATATATATATATAGGTTCAGGTGAGAATGTAATCTTATGAAAGAAATAAGAATGAATTTGGTGCTTTAAATTGTGAGATCTAAGGGTCAAGATTGTATCAAAATTAGGTGAATTAAATAAGTTAAAAATTAATAGTATTATGATATGAAAAGTATTTTATATATATATATATATATATATATATATATATATATATATATATATATATATATATATATATATATATATATATATATATATATATATATATATATATATATATATATATATAAGGGTCAAGATTGCATCAAAATCTCAAAAATTAATAGTATTATGATATGAAAAGTATTAGATAAGTTAAAAATTAATAGTATTAAAGTGAATTTTTAATAGAAATTAGAAAAATATTTTGAGACAAATCATAGAGAAAGAGAAAGTTTTAGGAGTAGGAGTATAAATTACGGAGTACAAAACATTTGGGAAGAATGAATCACTGACCTAAAAACAGAGACGGGGAGATTAGGGCTATGGCGTTAGAAGGGAGCTATAGAGAGAAGGGCGTCGGCTTCGATGAGAAAGATGACACATGCCCGCCGAAGAAGGCAATCAAAGTGATACGTCCCGATGATGAATTTGTGGAAAGGGATTTTAGAATGAATCCGATAGTCATCAATATCTTTTCCGGTCCACCCGATCCCTTGGACATCTCCGGTGCCACTATTATTACCGTCGATAATGAATATATCAAACAAATGGGTGCCTATCCCTCTCTTGTTCGTATTTTTCAGGAGCAATGCCTTGACCGCAGGATCTTGCAGGTATTTCCATTTTCATTGAATTAATGAATGTATTCCGCGATTGTTTTACCTGATCAACTCTGGTTGTCTTGCTTCAATTTTGGAATTAATAAGCTTTTACAATCGCATCACTCAACTTCATCATCTCAGAGAATGTTTTATCTGGCTCTGGCTCTGGGAGTAGGCGTCAGGGTGATTGGTGGTGGAGCGATTCAGTCCGAAGTAAGGTGGAAGCTAAGAAGGTGGCATATTTGAGGTACATGGGCTGCAATGTTGAGGAAGAAAGAACGGCGTTACGAGTGGAGTACAAGAAGGCACGTAAAGAAGCCAAGTTAGAGGTTACGAGGGCAATGAATGCCGCTTTTGAACGCCTCTACAAGGATATTGAGGAGAAAGGCAGGGTTAATACACTGTTCCGGCTTGCTAAGGTGCGTGAGAGGAAGGCCCGAGATCTGGACCACGTGAGATGTGTGAAGGGGAGCGATGGTAGAGTGTTAGTTGAGACTGCCAAAGTGGCTAAGCGCTGGAGGGAGTACTTTTGTGAACTCTTAAATGCGGGAGGAGACCAGAGGCTAGTTCTTGATGAGCTGGGGCAGTCCGGGGCGTCTCGGGTGTATTGTCGACGCATTTGCCTGGGAGAGGTGGTTCGGGCTCTTCGAGGGGTGCGTAGTGGGAGAGCTTTGGGACCAGATGAGATTCCGGTGGAGTTTTGGAAGCATGCGGGCCGTGGTGCGTGGGTTTGGTTAACCAAACTCTTCAATGTTATCTTTCGGACAGCAAGGATGCGTGATGAGTGGAGGGAGAGTCTCTTGGTCCCCTTGTTTAAAGGTAAAGGTGACATTCAGAGCTGCGAGAATTACAGAGGCATCAAACTCCTTAGCCACACCATGAAGGTTTGGGACCGAGTCATTGAGTTTAGGGTGCGTAAAGGGGTATGCATCTCTGAGAACCAGTTTGGTTTCATGCCTGGCAGATCGACTACAGAGGCCATTCACCTCGTGAGGAGGTTAATGGAAGAGTATAGGGCTAGGAAGTAGGACCTTCATATGGTGTTTATTGATCTTGAGAAGGCGTATGATAGGGTGCCAAGGGAGGTCTTATGGAGGTGCCTAGAGACGAGAAGAGTTCCCATCGCGTACACTCGCGCGATCAAGGATATGTACGATGGGGCTATGACTAGGGTAAGGACCTCCGGGGGCGACTCTGAGTCATTCTCAGTAGGGATGGGGTTGCACCAGGGGTCTACCCTTAGCCCTTTTTTGTTCGCCTTGGTGATGGACGTCCTAACTCAAGGTGTTCAAGAAGGGGTCCCATGGTGCATGCTTTTCGCGGATGATATCGTGCTTATCGACGACACACGTGAGGGACTAAACGATAAGTTGGAACGATGGCGTCTTGCCCTTGAGACTAAAGGATTCAGAATTAATAGTAACAAGACTGAATACATGGAATGTCGTTTCAGCGGCCGGGAAACAGAATCAGAAGTGGAAGTTAGGATTGACTCTCACGTAGTACCTAAGGTAGACAGGTTCCGATATCTTGGCTCGGTAATCCAGGCGGATGGGGAGTTAGACGGGGATGTTGGACATCGTGTTGGAGTGGCTTGGGCCAAATGGCGGTTGGCCTCAGGGGTGTTGTGTGACTCGAAGATTTCACCCAGGATGAAAGGTAAGTTCTACCGATCCGTAGTCAGACCTGCTATGTTATACGGGGCAGAGTGTTGGGCGGTTAAGAAGACTCATGTGCGTCATCTGCATGTGGCGGAGATGCGGATGTTACGATGGATGTGTGGGAAGACAAGGTTGGATAGGATTTCGAACGAAGTTATTCGACGTCAGGTAGGCATGGCGCCGGTGGAAGATAAGTTGCGGGAAGCGAGGTTGAGATGGTTTGGGCATGTGAGACGTCGGGATGCTGATGCCCCTGTACGGAGGTGCGAGAGGATCACGGTTATCGGGGGAGGTAGAGGAAGGGGTAGACCTAGGAAGAATTGGAAGGAGGTGATTAGGCAGGATTTAGGACTTCTCACCCTGACTGAGGATATGGCTTTAGATAGGAATCTTTGGCGGACTAGGATTAAAGTAGCTGGTTAGGAGCGCGGTGCTGCAGAGGTTTTTATAGTGTGTTGTGTTTGATTGGAATCTTCTACTTTTGCTTGCTGGACTTTCATTTCATTGTACTTGGTGCTTTATCCTGTTATATCCTGTTATATCATGTTATATCCTGTTACCCTGTTATATTGTGTTCCCTACCATATTTTTGTGCAGGTTGAGCCGGGGGTCTCTTGGAAACAGCCTCCCTACTTCTCCCTACTTCCGAGTAGGGGCAAGGTCTGCGTACACATACCCTCCCCAGACCCTACTGTAGTGGGATTCAACTGGGTTGTTGTTGTTGTTGTTGTATCTTTCTTAATTTATGAAGGTAAATTTTTCTCATCCTTGAAAAAAGTTTTAAAGTTTAATACGTAGATTTAATTCCATGCTCCTGAAAAAATAGGTTAAAGTTTGGTTATTTACTTCAAACAAGGTCTGGCTTTTGCTAATTTCTCATTTCTCGTGTGTTTTTCTCTACTTGTATGTGTGCTCTGTCGCACAGACAGTTATCATTTGTATCATTGAACTCTACAGACTGTTAATGTCTATGTCTGTGACTCTGTGAGGTTTCCCTCTTTATTAATTATTGTTGGGTTCATGTCCTTGATATTGTGGGTTGGCTTTATTAACGAGCCATGACTTTATTTAGTTTTAGATTTGATCAAATTTGAGTTTAATGTGTTTTAAATTTGATTGTTTCTGGGTCTAATTGGTCTCAGGTCTTATAGGATATGTTTCTAATCAGTTCCGACTTCCGATTTAATTTGATTTGGATATTGAATCGGGTGGGAATACATTCCGTTTGGTTTTGGTTCAGTTTGGGTCATTTTGGGTGTTCGGTTATAAATCAGTTCTTCAGTTTTCGGGACATTCCGGATTTGCTTCCGGGTCATTCGGTTCTGGTGATCTGTTCCTGATCTCTTTTGTCAGGCCTAGCTATGCCTCGGCATGGCCAGGCAGGGTTTTAAACGTTTAATCCTAAGAGTGGTATACGTCGTCACGCTACTCTCTATGTTGTGGTGTTAGCTTTTGCAAGTATAGAGCATTTAGCCATTTGAATTCCCCTCATTTCATGATCTCAGAAGCTGTTTGTTGATAGGAAAACATTACCCAAGAGCAAGCTCCTTTAAAATAAATCTTAGTGATAGGCATCAACTAAGAAAAATTGGCTTCCTACTCACGTTCTTGAATCTTGGTTGTTTTGATATACAACATTATTTCCTGCTCGTTATCTGCCAAGAATTTTACATTGTTTGATTCTTTTTAATATTTTTAGTTATGGGTATTGCTTCTCTTTTTCTTTGCCAACATCAGGGAAGTCGCGAGTCTCTTCCTCAACTCATTCTTTTTTTTTTTTTGCTGGCTAACTAATTAGCAAGTTGATTAAATTTTAGATGTTTGATCACCCTGGGGACACAAGTGGCTGTTCTTGCGGTGGGCTTTTTCACTGGGATAAGCCACCTGCGGATAAGTTATTATTCAGAAACAATTCTGAATTTGCCATGAAGAGTTGCTGCGAACTCTGCAAAAAGGTGCTCTGGTTTGTTCTATTATTGAGTCAGATTCTCCATCGTTCTCTCTACTCAATGGTCCTTATATCCAAATGACTCTTCTTGAAGGATCTGAGGTTGGTCAGTGTTGACAAGTTGAGTTTGATCCCAAGCTTTCATCAATTCAATTACTTGACTTTTACAGTGGTCGACGAGCTTTCCAATGAACACATAACTTTCCAAGCTGCGATTCTTGAGATGGTAGCCGAGGACCAATTCCTGCTAGGTTTACTTAGAGATGTCTCACATGATCAGGTGGTTGCTGTCATTCAAATCGAAGAAGGTAATTGTGTTGCTTATTTGGTTGATGTATCTTGTTTGTGTGTTTTATTTTTATTTTGTGTGTGTATGGAATAGAATTATAATTTGTTAAAACTATCTACCGGGTCCCTTTGTCTCAAAATGACAAAAACTAACTACAAGGTCGCTCTGTTTTTAAAATGACACTGGGTATCTCTTGTTTTTTGACTGATTATATGGGGGCATTCCAATGATAGGTTATGTTGACTTGGCCTCGTTATTAATTTGACATGTGGCAATAACTTGCTAGAGTTTTGTCGGGATGTCCCCACATAATCAGCTTTTAAAAAACACGAAGTACTCGGGGTGTGATTTTGAAATTAAACAAAGGGACCTTGTAGTGAGTTTAACAAAAACCATGGAGCAATTTTTTTTTTGTTTGTGGAATGTCTTGTGGTTTGCATATTTACAGGTGTTTGCTTCTTTGTAACCTCTATTGTGGTTGATCTCTTATCTAATAATGCATGTATTCTATGCTTCATTACTTGATAGTTCCAACAAACAAACAAACAAACTTTCAGCTCTTTGGAAATTGGTTACTTCATTAGAATAAATTGATGTGTGAATCCTTGATACTAATTGCAGGATCTGGGGAGCGTGGAGTTTCTTCTTCACCGTTTGAGAATCCTGGTAGCCAAATATGTAATGTGGCTGGCTTATCTGAAGCTTGCTCTCCTGAATCTCTACAAGAATGAAATCCTTTGAACTAGGGGCGGACCTAGGGGGTCCAGTGGTGTCAACTTTGACACCACTGAATTTTTTAAAGAACAGTTTTAGGTATTGACAACAATTTTTTAAGAACAGTTTTAGGTATTGACAACAATTTTTTTATATAATTAGTAATAATACTTTCTAGTTTCTACTCCATAATTGTGTTACTTTGAATCGTTTGAATGTTTGAGGAAAATTTATTATTGCGTACTCTAGAAGAAGGTGCCGGCGTGTTGGCAGCGAAATGACCTAAGCAAAATTGCAAGTTTTGACTGGGAAGTCAGCTCATCTCATAAAAGTGTTGAGTTGGACGTTAAGGCAACTTCTACCTAAATAGAATCACTTGTAGTTGTTCTAAAACTCACTAAAAAAGTTCTTGAAAGATATGGCAAGTATTCTTATGATATGAAATACTCGTAGTAACATTTAGATATTTCATTGAAAACACGACCAATGCTCAGGTACTCATGAAATTTATATAAGGATATACTCCATATAAAATTCAAACTATAGAATTTGAATTGAGGATAATAATTTTAGTTATGTAGTTTGATAGCACAAAAATATATGGATTTTGAGTTAGTAGTGCCAAAATTGATAAGTCTACAATTCATACGGCCATACGGGCGCCTAACTGCCTAAAGTGGTCGTCCTTTGCCACATGAAGCTATCCTCCATTAGTATACTAGTACAAAAATAATGTTATTAAAATTAGAGAGAAAGATTAAAGTACGACTAAAATGTTGAAAATATAACAAAATAAGATTTTCATATTTTTAATTTTGAAATAAGACTTATAATGCATTTACATTATCAAACATTAGCATATACATTACAAAAAATATATAATAATGTGCATATATATAGTGTCACATTACAATCACATTATTACAATATGAAATTCTATTAAGTAAAAAACATGAATGTCCTATTATTTTTTTCTATCTTTCAGTCCTATTTAGGACGATTTCTAATAAAATTATATTTTGAAAATTTTTCAAAAGAATATTTCATTGTATTAATATTCTCCATCACTTTTAAAATTGAATCTACAGCACTTTAATCATTAATATCCTCATTAATATAAAAACATATATAAAAATAAAATATTTCAAAATTATGTCTCAAAATGAATATATTGTTACTCGGTATTAAATTTATATGAAAATTTAAAGAATTTTTTCATAATATACAGACAAAGTTTAAAAAGTTTGATTATTAAAGACAAACTATGAAGACTGAAGTTAGTTTTTAGAGTAAATTCTATATTCGATCTTTTATAACAAGAGTTTCCATTTTTAATAGTCTATTATCAAATATTACGTTCATGATCCCTCTTTTACTGGTACCTTTTCTTAAAGTGTTTTTTAATCTTTTGTCATATTTGTGTTAATTTGAAAGTTAAAATTTTAATTTCACAATGATCAAATATCTTTCTTGTCATACGCAATGCAAGACGTTGCTCTTAGTGTGTTGTTTGTGAATTGCAATCGCTTTCTGCTACAATCATTATCTACAAATGTGATTTTTCGTTAGAATCCCAGTGAATAACCATAGTCATTATTACTGTGTTCTCCGTCTAATCGGCATCAAAATATGTCACTAGACATATGTTTGATATCAAATTTTATTTTTAGTTTTCAAATTAACACCAACATGACACTAGGTAAAAAATATTATTTATGAAAATCTACCCATAAAGGTACCATGAATACAATATTTGACAATAGAAGACTAAATAGGAAAAACCTCTTGTTATAAAAGATCAATTATAAAATATACTTTAAAGTTTAGGACGAAAGGAGTAATACTACATCCGTCTTGATGTTTTTGTTTTGATTATTTTTGATCAAACAGTGATACTATTCAACCTTAAATTATGGGAAATATATATTTAACTTTAATGTAAATTCAATATAATTAGTTTCATCTTAAGATATAATTGTGAAATACTCCCCCCGTCCTAAAATTTTCTTCCCAAAGCACTATTCCAACTTCACGGGAATTTATATTTATTTGTGTTTTTTCATGGCCTATATGATAAAATAAAATATTCTTGTCACCACTTGTTTTGTTGAACTTTTGATGTAGTTTTTAAATATGTATGTTTTATTTTTTATTTCTATACTAATATTTAAATAAAATAGATTGAAAAAACTTGGGATTTTTCTTCATTTTGCACAACGGGAAGAAAGATATCGGATGGAGGGAGTATTAATTTTTTGCAGCATTTATTTATTCAAATTATGCTTAATTTATGATTAAAGAGTTTTACCGTTTGACTAAAAAGTTTAAAAGGGGAAAAAATTTTCCGAGACAAAAATAGTAGTTAGAGTTAACACAATTTAATTTGAAAAACAAAATTAGAGAGCTACTACCTCCGTCCCAAAGTATTTGTCTACTTTCATTTTTACATACCATCCAATACACTTCTTTAATCAATTTTATCTTGTAATTTGTATATTAAAAAATTATATATTAATAATCTATATGTTAAGACAAATCAAACAAGATCACACAATACTATATTTAGGCTTACATATTGAGAGAATTTGATGAGTCAAAGTGCTTAGATGAACAGTTCTTAAAGTCAAAACTGGACGAATAATTCGAAACGGAGGAAGTATTTTCGAAAAAAAGGAATAAATAAGTGTTTGACTGATCCTGGCCGTATGTTGTCAACGACGATGATTAGTACACGTGAAACAGGGCAACAATTGCAACTTGTGTCCGTCCCATTAAAATAAATAAATGCTCCGTAAATAAAAAAGACGGACCAGCCACTCCATTCGGGTCCCACAAGACTCTCCTTCCTCCTCCTCGGCACCTTTCTCATGCGTTATTAAAAAGGAGGCGTCTGTCTCCGCCTCACGCCGCCGCCGCCGCGCGATCGGGAGGAAGGAGCAGCGAAGCGGAGATGTCGTTGATTCGCAGGAAAAAGGCGCCGGAAACCCCGAAGCCCGAGCCCTCGACCTCCCGGCCGACCAGCGAAGACGACGAGAAGAAGAAGAGGAGGAGCAGCAAGCCTCATGTACCCAGAGCCAAGGGCGAGGGCGAGGGAAAGAAGACGCCGCGTTGGTCGTGCGTCGACGGCTGCTGCTGGTTCATCGGATACATCTGCACCGTTTGGTGGATTCTGTTGTTCCTTTACAACGCGATGCCGGCCTCGTTCCCGCAGTATGTCACGGAGGCGATTACCGGACCGGCGCCTGATCCTCCCGGCGTCAAGTTATTGAAGGAAGGGTTGAAGGCGAAGCATCCCGTAGTATTCGTTCCGGGGATCGTGACCGGCGGGCTTGAGCTCTGGGAGGGGCATCAGTGCGCCGAGGGTTTGTTCCGGAAACGCCTTTGGGGCGGCACATTCGGCGAAGTCTATAAAAGGTTAAACCGTACTGTATTCCTTTTTCTGTAGCTTCTTGGATTTCATTACTATTTCTAGCCCAGAGTATTGTTTTCTTTTCCTTTTTCTGTAGCTTCTTGGATTTCATTACTATTTCTAAGGGTCATTTAAGTCTGGGCTGGAAAGCTACTTTTCACTGGGGTCATTTTAGTACTAGAATCATCATCCATTGAGCTTGGAAAGCTACTTTTCACTTGATCCTAATGAAGGCTGCAAGCAATCACTCACAGAATTGGAAATTGTTCATTCATTCATTTGACAAAATGACAAGAAATAGGCTGCTGACATTCTTTTTAATAAAAAAAAATTAACATTTGGAGCTTCACTTGATGCAATGCAGACCTTTATGCTGGGTGGAACACATGTCACTAGACAATGAAACTGGGCTAGATCCTTGTGGAATTAGGGTCAGGCCAGTTACAGGACTTGTGGCTGCAGATTACTTTGCTCCAGGATATTTCGTGTGGGCGGTTCTTATTGCTAATTTGGCTCGGATAGGATATGAGGAGAAAACCATGTATATGGCTGCATATGATTGGAGACTTTCATTTCAGAACACGGAGGTGTGTCTTCCCTTCTCCCTTATGGTCCATTGATTATAATGTTTTGATCCCACTTGCTGAACAAATTACGAGTACTCTATGTTGTGATCGAATTGGGAGTTGGCACGGGGACGAGACATGAGTTTAACTAAGCACATATCAACACAACAGTTTAAGCTATTAGGTTTTGGTACTAGCTACACGTATAACGCGATCATTTTAGGATTTTACTTTTAATATTTCTACAAATACTAAAAGATAAACTCCATCAGGTGCGGGACCAATCGCTTAGCCGTATAAAAAGTAATATCGAGCTGATGGTTGAAACAAACGGAGGTAAAAAAGCAGTAATTGTTCCACATTCAATGGGAGTTCCATATTTCTTGCATTTCATGAAGTGGGTAGAGGCACCAGCTCCAATGGGTGGCGGTGGAGGACCAGATTGGTGTGCCAAATACATTAAGGCTGTAATGAACATTGGCGGACCGTTCTTAGGCGTTCCAAAATCAGTTGCTGGACTCTTCTCATCTGAAGCAAGAGACATTGCTGTTGCCAGGTATGCTTTAGTGTGTGTGTGTGGGTACTTAATGTTTCTGTGTGTGTGTGTGTTGCCACCAAGCAACTAAATCTAGAAATCTTTAGCAATATTTTCTTGTCTTGCCTCCCTGCTAATATTGTGCAAATGAAAGTTTAATTTTAGTCGTGTCCTTAGGAAGCAGTTCCAAATATGATCATCATTTTTTTGTGATTTTAGGTATACACCCCAAAATCTTAGCAGTAGTTTTAAGCATATATTGCATACATTGCCTTATTGCTCGTTGGATGATTTGTACCTCCAAAATGAGTTACCTAAGATGTCTAGTTTTGTGTGAGACTGCAGAATGCATACAAAAGTAGATAACAAAGATGTATACTTCTGTGTGAGGCAACATGAACAACAATTTTGTATTCCAAGATTAAATATAAACTGCATGCTCTGTAAACTTCAAATCATTCAAGGGTAAGAAGGTGGAAACTGTTGTCTAATGTTGAGCGGGATCCCTTTATCAATCAGGCGTTGTGAAATGTGAAGCACATCATTTTAAAACTTGTCTCACATCAACGATACTTTTCTAATAATTTGCGTTGACTATAGGGCTCTAGCTCCAGGTGTTTTGGAAAAAGACATATTCCGTATTCAAACACTGCTGCATGTAATGAAGATGACAAGGACATGGGATTCGACCATGTCAATGTTACCAAGAGGAGGGGATACAATATGGGGTGGTCTTGACTGGTCTCCCGAGGATGGGTATTCTCCTTGCAAGAGAAAACATAAAAACAATACTACCAAGAGTTCAGGTAACAATGGGATTCTAAATGTGGAATCTAAAGTGAGCGATGTGACTTATGGAAGGATGATTTCATTTGGAAGGGATGCTGCCAAGACAGATTCATCAAAGCTAAAGAGGATTGACTTCAGAGTAACTTTTTATTTTTCAGAGCTTGAGTTTCCGTCTTGATTTATCTCAGAGCTAATGCCTAATTTAGTTCATCAGCTATACACAATTACTCATTTTGGTCCTCAACTCTTTTGGACTCAGTCTGCCCCTTTGTTCTACATTTTGGTCTACAATTTGGTCCTCGTACATATTTGGCTCAAATTTGATGCACGTCATTTTCTGCCCACTAAATTTAGACCCGATATTGGATTCAAGATTCTCTTCAACCATGCAATTTGGATTAAAAAAACTGTTCTTTGTTAGAATGAAATATGTATGATGGCTAAGTTGGATCAATATTGCACAGTAAACAATGAAATGAGACCAAAAGAAAAGAGTGAGTAAACAATTTTGTTACAAGAAGTGATTTGTGTGTCTTTATTACATGCAGGGTGCTATGAAGGGGAGGAATATAGCAAATCACAGCTGTCATGATGTGTGGACAGAGTACCTTGACATGGGGGTTGGTGGTATCAAAGCAGTTGGAGAATATAAGGTCTACACCGCAGACGACGTTCTTGATTTGCTCCAATTTGTTGCGCCAAAAATGATGGCACGTGGCAGTGCTCACTTTTCTTATGGGATTGCTGAAAATTTGGATGATCCAAAGTATGCTCATTATAAGTACTGGTCAAATCCTCTGGAAACAAGGTGAGCTCTCGTGTACAAATGCAGTGTACTGTCGCATTCACGTCCTCTCTTTTATACATTCACTTCTCTTAATGCTTTATAGTGAACTTATCAATCTCTAAACTTACCAGTTAGTTCCATTTCGAACTCGGCATATAGGGAGGAAAGATGAAAAGAAATTTGGAAGAAACAAAATGGTTGGGGAGAGCAAAAAATTGCTTCAAAATCAATAAATCATTTAATTCATTTTCAGATATTTTATCAAACTCATTTTATGTAAACATTTTTATTATATAATGAGTAAAGATAAAAAATATCTGAATGTATTAATGTGTGTAAATTTTAAAACATCTTAACAAAATAGTTCTCCTTTCTATCGTCTCCTTGGGAGTTGGGATTTTCCTGGGACCAAACGGACCCTTAGTGTACTCCCTGTTTCCCTTCCATATTACCAAGTTACATACATAAGCTTAACATCTCTCATGTTAGTAGTGTGGCAAAGAAAACAAAGGCATCATAAGTGTCTTCCAGAACAGGTCTAATTAGTCTTAAAAGAAATAGAGCACTGCATTTTCCTCCAAGTTTAATACTCCGTAAATAAAAAGGATTAAATCTGCAGGTTACCAAATGCTCCTGACATGGAGATCTATTCAATGTATGGAGTTGGCATCCCAACCGAAAGAGCATATGTTTACAGGCAGGTTGCATCAGCAGCAGAATGCGACATTCCATTTCAGATTGATACCTCAGCAGATGAATTGGATGAAGAAAGCTGCTTAAAGGATGGTGTTTACACTGTTGATGGTGATGAGACGGTTCCGGTTTTGAGTTCAGGTTTCATGTGTGCTAAAGGGTGGCGGGGGAAAACCAGGTTCAATCCTTCTGGAATCAAAACTTACATAAGGGAATACGAACATGCCCCTCCTGCCAATCTTCTAGAAGGTCGTGGGACCCAGAGTGGCGCCCATGTTGATATAATGGGAAACTTTGCTTTGATAGAAGACATTATGAGGGTTGCTGCTGGAGGTACTGGGGAAGACTTGGGAGGTGACCAAGTCTACTCACAGATCTTCAATTGGTCTGAAAAAATCAACTTACCTCTTTAGGATTGTGATGAGTGTGCCATTCCATCACACTATCATTTGGGCTAATTACATCTTCTCCCCCCTCAGGTTAGGTCATGTTACCTAATGACCCGTGATGTTTTCTTAAGTTCCATATACGCACCTTAAGATGATGTGGTATAAATGTAAAATGATACTATTAGCATTTGGAGCTGACTAAATTACACTGAATATTTGTTCCAGAGGTTCATTTCAAAAGAAAGACAACACATTTCAAAATCCTCAAGGGTTGTTCAGTAATTTGACCTGAACTCGGGTGTCAAAAAAGCTGTTTGTTCAAAAACCCCAAGGGTCACTTAGTAATTTGACCTGAACTCGGGAAAGCAAGACTAATTCATCCTCGTGAAATTTGTCCCAGTGTTGCTACTACGATGTCTACTACGGTGTCATATGTTAAGACGTCACTTGGAAGTGTAAATTGGAACAAGGAGACTGACACGCCCCAACATCCGCTCTTGTTCTATTGCTGTCCAAAGTTGTATGTTGTGTCTGTCTGGTTGAGATTTACCAAGTGGGTTGGGATGCTAAGTTAAATAAAACCATACCAAAAGTATGATGCCTGCTTTGACTGTCTGTTCTTTGTTGATGGTGAGCAAGATGAGAACATGGACAACATCTTTGGATTTTGATAGGATCCCTTTGTTCTAGTACTTGAATAAGACTTTGGTTTAAATGTTTGTACTCTACATTATGACCCCCTATTTGCTACAAGTAGAATCCATTCATTCAATAAAGTCCTATGAAGGTGTTGCAATTCATTGTTTTTAAATGTGCTAATAACTCTTTGATTTTTTTTTTAAAATCAAAACAAGTCGTTGTTTTGTTTTATTGGCTCTAAAATTTCTCTTTTGGTAAACATCTGTCACGTGCCTTACTAAGAATGAACATCCAGTATCCACCTTTAAAAAGAAAGAAGAAAATAGAATGAGTATCCATTTGTCTACATGAAATGTCATTGTTTAAAAGGGAAATTGAGTTTCATTTTTATTTTGAAGTTGACTCAATAAAGGTATCTAGTTAAGCGCAACTAATTTTCATTTATATGGAGTATTTATAAATGGGTAAAATATATTTCTCTATCTTAATGAGAAATATCGTCACGGTCCATATTCGCATTGTCAACCCCACGATTCCTTAACGACAATATTTAGTTTTAATGTTTTCAAAGTTAACCATCATTACAAAAATCCTCCAAAACACTATTGCTCATACCGAGTTGCTTTTTACTTTGGGTGTGTTGCTCATGTTAATTTCTCTTTTGATGATTTCTTTTATTGAGAATACCTTTGATGTTTAATGTACTGCTCCGTAGTACGTACTACTCTTCCGTCCAAAAATAATCTTTCACTTTGACTTTACACACAAATTAAGAAAAAGTAAAAAATATTTTGACTTTCCATATTTATCCTTGGGTAATTGCAAGAAGTGAAAGAAAGAGTACGTGTGAATGATAATTAATGACTAAGGTGAAGATAATGATATGGTTAAAAAAACATTTGCCAAAAAAGAAAACGAAAAAATAATTCATAGACGGACAAATAAGGAAAGAGGGAAAACAAATTATTCCGTATAATTAGAGGAAGTATCATTTTTTTTTAAAAAAGTAACTCCCTATTTTCACCAAAATAAAAAAAAAAGCAGGTAGAGGGTTCAGTTTTATTTTTTTTTAGAAGCATAATGACGAAAAAAAAGTGGGAAGAAATAGTTTAAAAAACCCTCGCCTGCTCGCTCCGAAACCCTTTCTCTGCATCAGCCGTTCTGTATTTACCTCTGTTCCCCTTCCATCGATCCATTCAAACCCTAACTGATTTGAGTACTATATATAATAAGGCTTGGAATTACCCCTTTTCTTTCGTCGATTCCAATTATTATTGCGCCCACATGTTGGCGAATTCGGCATAAACAAGAAATTTGTTTACCTTTCTGTTTAAATCTTTTGTATATTTCTTTTGGGTGAGATGCTATCGGGCTCGAAAATTGAAGGCGGGACGCAGAACATATCACCTGGACTTAGAATGACGATAGAGACTCTGAAAGAAGTTGCCAAGGGTCACTCTGAAGACGATATCTATGCCACTCTCAAAGAGTCTAACATGGACCCAAACGAGACATTCCAGAAATTGTGTCATCAGGGTCTCTTCTTTTATTCCCATCCTTCTAAATTCATTCTTTTTTTAAAAAAATTAATCTCATGTTTAGTTGACAGTTTCTTGATTCATTTTGCTGGGCAAATGTGTTTTTCTTGATGGGGACAAGAGTGCCTAAGTTCGGGGGTTTCGGGGTTCGATGCTGGATTTGGATGAAATGACACAATCACTTACCTTTCATTTTCTCGTAATATTTTGGTTCCTTTTTAGTTAGTTTTAAGTTGCAGTGGATGTGGTATCGAGTTGTATTTTAGGAGCAATGCTAACATTTGCATATATAATATGGTACATAGATGTTTTCTATTTGGTTTATTGGATGCACGTCTAAATTTCATCATTAATGAACCTCTGCAGTCTGCACTGGATTCTATGCAATGCATTAGGATCTCTATGTGCTATAATCTGTTGTTTATTCGGGGAAAGTAGAATTTTGTGAGTAATGACATAGTACTGCACTTGTTGTGCCAATAAGGTGAGTTATTGAGGTGAAATAGTGATTCTCAGCATATGCATCTTTTACATGCACACACCCAAAAACTACTTACAATGATATCTGTCCCCTTACCAGGGTCTGAGTGTAAAACTATTCTGTTGATTCATATAGTATGTCTTTTGTGCAGATACATTTCATGAAGTAAGGAGACGAAGGGATAGAAAAAAAGAGGTGGTGAATGAGCCTAGTGTGCACATTGAGGTTGTGCTATGACAAAAATGACTTAATCATTTTTCTATTATTTAATGAAATAAACTTTCAGACTTAGTATCTTTTGTGTATGATCATTGTTTCACTTCCACTATTTATTTATATACCTCTTCAAATTTTAACTTGAAATAAACTCTCAAGAGGAATGTTTTTGGATGTCTTGTATTCTTTTTCAGAGAGCAGGGCATAAGATTCAAGAGGACAGAAAAGAATTTGAATCTGCTAATGTAAATCTGAAACCCAACACTTATTTGCATCGTAATATTCGAAGAGGGCCATACAAGCGGAATCCTTTGTCTGGTAAATGCAATCCCATGCCAATTGTTTCCTGTGTATTTAATTTTTTGAACGTTTGGTTCATAGGTAATTAGATATCAGTATGTCGGCAGTTAATCAGCTAATTGCTCCTTAGTTCTTATGTAGTGGAATGTGACCAAATGCAAGTGTAATTTAGATTTAAGCAAAAGTTGATTACATCACATTATCTTCCAAATCCATTATGGTTTATCAAATGCTACACTCTTAAGATACTATCAACAGAATTCACTATAACATTCCCCAGCTGTTTAAGTGGAAGGGTGTAAGGCCTCTATAAAGGTCTGAGATGTTCTCATGATAATTCTCTTATAGTGTGTATATGTCTGCGAGCTAAATGTCACCAGCTTGGTCTTCTTTTTGCTATGGAGTTAAATTTAAATCTCTTTTATATCCACCATGCATTTTTATTTGTTATCTTTTTACCCTAATGTATCCTTTACTTAATTTTTTTTGGTGGTCCTAATGCCTACAGGCACTAGAGTTAACAGAGAATTCCGTGTTGTGAAGGACAAAAGGATAAACCACGATACAGATAATGACACTTTAGGTCCTGCTCTCTCTGAACCAGCAATGCCTGCTTCTTTGGCAAGGTAATATACTTGCAGCTTCTTAGGTCCAGTTTGGGGTTGCTGTGGTTTTCAGCACTCAAAATAAAACAGTCAAGTCATCTTTTGCTGTTTATGGCATAACTTTTGATGTTGTTTTTATATATATTGAAATTAATTTAAGCCAAACATCTTAATAAAAAAGGTTAGATTAAATAGGGACGTAGGAAGAATATTGTAAGCTTCTAAAAGCCTTTCCCTCTAAACCTTTCCAAAACCCTCTGTCCAAACAGACTCTAAACCCTTAGTAATATGTGCTTGATGATATCTAGTTGTATACATTTTCTTTACACATGCCATACTGAGCATGAATGAGACAATGCTTCTTTGGTGTTGTGTTATGAATTATTCCTCAATTTCGTTGTATCTTCACATAATATCCCGCTACCCAATAAATTGGATTTCTATTTTTTTTACAAATAGTTACACGTTGCAATTGGATTTTGTAACAGCTCAAAAGGGAGTTCAAAGAACAAGGTGACTGTTGGGGATGATTCTCATGCTAATATTACTGCAAATAATGGAAATTTAAAGATGGGAGCAATGAAGCAACATGTTTCTAAGCCACGTTCTACAACATCATCAAACAATTCTGTATTAGGAGTTTACTCCTCTTCAACAGATCCTGTTCATGTACCGTCTCATGGTTCCAGATCTGCCACTAATGTGGGTGCCATTAAACGTGATGTTGGAGTGGTAGGCGCCCGTCGCCAGTCCACGGAAGCTAATAATAAACCTTCATCGTCACAGGGTGGTTTGTCTTCAAATTATCATGCTGGGCAACACCGTCCACCTTCTAGAGGAAATCCACGCTCTTTTGGTTCTTTTTCCAAAAGTGATCAAAATGCTGCCTCTGTTCCATCAAGCCATCCAAATGGGAGATCTTTTAGTAGTTACCAGCACAATTCCAGGCCAAATCAATCCGTGGTCCATCAGAAAAGTATGGATTTCTACTTTGAAATATGTAACTTGTTTGCTTTAGTTATGGATTTCATCTTTGCATGTTTGATCCCAAAACAGTCACTCAACCCCCTCCTAACAACTCAGTTCGTCACTCAACCAGTGGTGTATGAGAAGGGTGGACGTACACTGACTTTAACCCCTACTTATAAAGGTTGATAGACCATTCCTGAACACTCTTGATGCCAACAACGAAAAAAATGTGAACTCCATCCAAAAAAAGAGTCATGTTTGGCCAAGGTTAACCTAAAATCAGCTGCTTTGGTTCATACGGGCAAGACTGATTTTTAAATATTATTCTTTCTCGGGTCAGAGGGATTAAATATAAAAGAAAATGAAAATATAAAATGTCATTCTTTCAAGTTGGGCCCTACAGCTTGTTGTACTATGATTCTATGAAGTTGGACCTCTACAGCTAGTTTTTAGGAATAAATAGATTTTTGTTTTCAGTTTGCAATTGTCTTAGCCATTAAAAAGCCTTCTTTTTGGATGATTTATATTTATGTGTAACTTTGACTTTTAGGTTAACACATGATCCCTCTTAAAAATTAGATCATGTATATTATTTTTCAATCCTTTTTCTGAAGTGTAACTTAAGAAAACTCTTTTGCTATAGGTGCTCAACCGAGTAAGGAATGGAAACCTAAGGTGAGCCAGAAGTTAGTTGCTGACGCCTCTGAGCCTTGTGAGAAACCTGGCAAATCTGCTGCTCCAGCCAGCAGTAGACCTAACCACATCGAAGAAGAGACATCCAAATTGCAGGATAAAGTATCAAGGGTAAACATATCTGAAAATGTAACCATAGCTCCACATCTTCGTGTTTCTGAGAGTGAGAAATATCGCTTGAACTTCGGCTGTTTGGATGCTGATTTTATACCTTCTAAAACTTCTGCTGAAGAACAAAAAGTTGAGCGCTCCGAAAGGTATGTTTTTTCATCTGTTTTTATAGCAAAATAACATAATGCCAAAGAACATAATGTAGTCTTAATTAGAGTGAACTATGCATGACGCCATGACGGTAATGTTGAGTTAAATTGCGTATTCGTGCACCAAATTGAGTGATAATGTATATAGTTAAATACAAAATCTAGTGTTAACTCTTTTAAATGTGATTTCTTTTTCTTCGGAAATTGCAGTTTGTTCGTTTCGGTTTCTGATGGTTTGATTGAAGAGCCTGGTGCTGACAGCAATGAGTTGGTTTTGGGCAAGGATATACCCCAAAATTCAGGATCCAGTTCACCTGTGCCAGGTTCAATATCTGTGCCTCCCCAGATTGATAAAAAGGAATCTTCAGCTCCTTCGGAGTTGGATAACTATTCTGATCTTGGCTTGGTTCGAGATGCTGCCACTTCATTTGAGCCACAAAGGCACCCAGATGCCTCTGATTTATCAAGTTTTTCTGTGAGTTGTAGTTTCTGTGCTTGAATCATGGAATGTTTCAACTTCTAACTGTTATTTGTAAAAATAAAAAGGGTATTTTACATAATTGTAGGTTTACACCTTGTTTGGTTGGGGGATTTCAGAGGGGAGGGATGGGGTAATGGTGTTAATTATTCTATAACTATTACTCCGTAATTTTTTCTTAAATTTAGATAGCTGGAAGAAGAGGGAAGATGGAAATACTGACTCAAACAGATTCCATCTCCGTGCTTTATATTTTGCACTTTTCCATCAAATTTGTTATTTTTAAATGCCATTTCTGTTCTCTTGGCTACTAGCAGGTCTACGATCCTCAAACTGGCTATGATTTGACTTATTTCAGACCAAATACAGCCGATGAAGCTGTAAGGGGACATGGTTTACTCTCATCCCAAGAGGTACTCTTCTTGCAGATTTATTATATCTGGTACCATTTGGATTTTGATCTGTATTTTCATCAACCTGCAATAAATAATCTTATAAGTTGTATCTGAAGCATTCTATCTATATATAAATTCATATTTATCAAATAAATTGTATTTATGCCACGTCTCATTTCTTAGGCTCTCATTTCACACACTGGTAATAGTATTCCTTCATCTTCGATTGGAATGGTACCGCAAGTACAGCAGCAGCAGCAGCAAGCAGTAGCTCAGATGTACCCACAAGTTCATCTTCCTCACTTCACAAGTATTATGCCGTACAGACAATTCATTTCCCCTGTTTATGTCCCTCCAATGGCTGTGCAAGGCTACTCTGGTAATCCTGCCTTTTCACATCATCCCTCTAATGGCAGCAGTTATGTGCTGATGCCCGGCGCCACTTCCCATTTGAGTGCTAGCGGGGGCCTCAAGTATGGGATGCAGCAATACAAACCTGTCCCTGCCGGGGGTGGCCAAACAGGTTTTGGAAGTTTTACTAGTCCTACAGGCTATGCCATGAATGCCCCTGGTGTTATTGGCAATGCTACCGGACTAGATGATTCAGCTAGGCTCAAGTTCAAAGATACCAACTTATATGTTCCAAATCCTCAGGTAAATATCTTGTTTTTCACAATAGCTCCAGTAAAACATATAGTACACAAAAAGGGGCTAGTATATGATTTTTTTATATATTGAATGCAAAAGTTTTTGTGGGTGTAGGCTGAGACGTCGGAGATATGGATGAATGCAAGGGAGGTGGTGCCGAATATGCAGACGGCATCATACTTCAACATGCCAGGTGGACAAGCACCGCCGCATGCAGGGCCCGCTGCCTATATGGCCTCCCCCCACGGTGGCCACCCTTCTTTCAACACCGCTGCTGCAGTTGCTCAATCCTCACATATGCAGTTTCCGATGTATCATCATCAACCGCCACAACCCGCCATGATAGGCAATCCCCACCACCATATGGGTGGCGGTGCGGTGGGCGGCAATGTTGGAGTTGGTATTGCAGCGGCGGCGGCAGCAAACCCGGGCGGGGCATATCAGCAACCTCAATTAGGTCACCTGAATTGGACAGCAGGCAACTTTTGAACTTTGAAAAAAAAACAGAAAGTTGATTGGTATTTTCATGTAAGTTGTTTTGATTGTTTTCCAACTTGTAAAATAAGCACAAAAAAACTTTCCAATCCAATCAAAATCAATGGAGAGAAAGCTCAACAAAAGGGCCAAAATAGCCCGAATGCCTCAAGCCTTTTGTTCCACTATGCTGTACTGTTCATCTTTTTCTTGACATGTAATGTTAGGGCACACCACCTTTGACACACTAATGTATCTTAGAGAACACTCTCACCTGTTTTCTGTCAGAATTGGTGTGCCTGAAAACAGATTTTATTTAGATAATGGTTAGTCTAATTTGTCATCTGCCTCGGTCAACCGAGCCGCGAAACCTGAGAAACGGCCGTGCTTGTAGGAATACAACATGGCTTGACTTGCAGCCAATGGGCCGCAAAAGATGTCCTTGAGCAGGCATCTTTCGTGGACTTGGGATCGTCGGAACATGTAAGCGATATGTATGCATAGCACATTAAGATGGAGCTCGCTGGAGAAGTGTGTGTGTGTGATGAAGAATCAAGAATGAATGTAAATGATGATACATACTCCAATATTATATGGAAATTGCTATATGTACACCGGTTTTGTACACCAATTGTGCATCACATATA